CTGCTGACCACACATGCTCTGTTCACTGCTCATTAGTCCTTCAGTCACACTCACACCTGCTCTGTACAGACACAACCTTCCTACTTTGACCATTTTCTGCAATGTTTTTCCGTTCCCTGATACATAATTAGAGTCAAAATGTCATTCCCTGCTTCACTAAAGAGATAATTAAGACTAGATTGCCTGGATCTCGACTGCAGACCTACAGCGCCCATAGATTAGCACGGTTCGAAGGACTTGTTTGATGCAGATATCTTTCTCTAGGAGTAAAACAACTCACTCTAATACAATAAATGAATACAAAAAGGATAAGCAACATTAGGATGGAACAAAAACCCACATTTTAAGAGAAGTAGCCCTGTGAGTCCACAAACGCAGTATGTACAAAAACACTCTCTTCCCTCACTGTCACTTGTCCCCTTGAATATTCTATGTATTTATAATTTAATGAATTATCATTTAAATGAAGCCGGATGGAAACTGGATACAGAAAAATGTGTCATGTTGAACTGTGAAATTGTAGAGCATTTTATGTATAAGATGCTGCATTTGAAATAAGTGTTTTTTTTAACAACATACTGAGTGCTTTTTTCATTCTGCAATTAAACACAACAAATGATGTTGAGGGGAAGTCTTCATTCCATCTTTTCCTGTAGCAACAGGCGTAAAACCATTCTGGTCGAGGGCAGAAATGAACAATATGAATGTTTCATTACAATTTCGGGTTGGTTATGGGTCTCGTTTGACCTCTGGACATTAAGTGAGGTGGTGGTGAGGAAAACTAGTGTCATTTCTTTCCCTGGTAATGAAGGAATCTTAACCACACTTCCAGTTAGTCAGTGTGCTTCTGAAAGCCCCCATGTTTCCAATCACATAGGTTGTTAGCAGAAATGTACTGCAACCTACCGGATTAATACTTTACTTTATTTTTAAGTAGTTGTCAAATACTCACATTTGGCGTTTGATGTATTCTTTAAGAAGCTTTTCATCCACTGTGTACATCTGGACCTTGCTGCCATCATCGTAGTAGTAAACCATGTTGGTGCCAAACTCTGAGGGGACCTGAACAGAGCCGTCAGACGACTGAGAGTCCCGGAAGTTATGAGAGTATTCATAACGACCTTAAAGAACAGAAAACACAGAAATGAAATCTGAGAACTAAATAAAATGCAAGCATTGCAATGGTGTTTTCTGGTAAAGGATGTGAATGAAAACATTCCTGAGAAGCTAAACTCGGCTCCCGGCTTTTCTCTAAAGTTGTTACAAAAGCTGCTAAAATAAAACCCTGGCTCAAAGCTTTGCTGCGAGGAATTAAAAACAGAGTTTTTAAGAATGGCACATAATACAAACAGAGCAGGTTAACAAACAGAAAATAACACCGTCAACATGACTTACACAGCGTAAAAATCTGGTGAAACTAAAAACCGCACCTCGACCACGACCTCTCCCGCGTCCACGACCTTTCCCTCTGCCTCGTATTCCTCCACGAATGCTCCCACTGTCACTCCGGACGCTGGCGGTCTCATCTCCAAAGTCCCGCTGCTCTCTTCTCCAACCTGTTAACAAGAAAACGCAAACATTCAGTGTCAGATCGTACAGATGCTTCACGTAGCGGTTCCCAAACTACAAGTCTTAAAGTGTTCTAGGAGGGGCTGATAAAACCGGATACACCTGAGGAATTATATTAAGAACTTAACATAAATAAATGTAATAGTTTCATGCATATTTTCTATTGGTTACAGCAGTTAAATGTTCACTACACCTTTCTAGACCTGAGGATGCAGCATCATCAGTACAACCACTTCTACGGGACAACATGAGCAGTCAGATGATCACAGATGCTGCAAAGAAGCCCTCTGTTTATTCAGATTATCTAAAGCACCTTTTTGGAGGCCGTCAAAATAGGACTACAAGTACAGATTCTTTTTCTTTTCTTTTCCCAAGTTGATGTCTTTATACATCTTGTTTTGTCTGACCAGGAGTCCAAAACCAAAATATATTCAATTCATTTTAATTTATGTAACACATTCTCACATTTGAGAAGCTGGAACCTTTAAGTCGTCCGCTTTAAACTTACATAGCCGGTCAATCAGTTATTATAACAGCTGCAAGTTCTCGACTCTAGTGACTTCCCCAGGTCTCAGAAAGGAAGATGGTGTGTTAAATGTTATCATAACCGATAGAAATGATTGTCAGAACTATGAAAATAAAACCTGGTTGTAAAAACTAAATTTTTCTTTAAAGTATGTTTACATTCTCATTTACTGGGATATAGATTTACTTGTAGGTTGAGAGGCCAATCAGGCTCTGAATCAGCTGTGTGATGCAGAACATTAACCAAAATGAATCACTAAGCTTTTGGGAAAAGAGCATCAAAAGGCTAGCAGTTATATGCCATGCTTTCATCCTGCAATGCATTAGTTTGGGAAAAACAACTCGCAGACACTGGAAAGCCAGATGGTAGCAGAGAAAAATGCTGAGCAAATATGAAGTGGAGGGCAAACAAGCAGCAAAGCCAAACCAGCGTGTAAAGAAGCAAAACAGAGGCTGAATGCGGAAACAGAAAACAGTGAGCTGCGGGCCACTTACTCCTGCTGCTATCATGCGCCCTGTTATTATGGAGTGTGTGATTGGGAGACGTGGGGTCAGGCTCTGTGTCCGAGCGTGCTGGGCCCTCGCCGGCCGTCTTGTCACCGTCGTCCCGGGACGCATCCTCCAGCGGCAGAGAAACCCACTTACGTTTGTTACCTGGCGATGATTGCACACAGAGCTTGAATTTTGCTCCAAAACACTGGAAATCCAGTTAGGAACAAATGAAATAATCAACTAAACTTCATCAATCTGTGTTTTAAATAAAGATCCTCTGGTTATTAACCCATTAAGACCTATGGCGCCCTCTACAAAAGCCTTCTAAAACCTGAGGCATTGTTTGAAAACAAACAACCTCCTAAAACCTGAAAAACTTTATTTCTCTGCCTCTGTAGCAGACACAAACATGAAATCCTCCTCCTCCTCAAACACATCTCCTACCTATGGACCCCCTTTTCGTCCTCAAAGTAACTGCTGTAATTAGCATAAAAGTCGCTCCCCTCACTCATCAGCCATTATCACTGTCTGAAGCGTAGCTATGGAAACTTAAAAATAAAAATCCCATAATGCATTTCGTCTCCCCAATGGTATTTCAGCGGACCACGGTGCATTTCATCAGTCATGTGTCTTGAAAATGATGACATCTAATAAAACATGCACCGCGTCACATCCGAAAAAAACCTTTCTAATGTCTTTTCTGAAGTAGCCACATTTAATTTAAGTTAATGACCTTTAGGTTTCCCTCAAAAGACACCTCAAACTGTTGAACTACTAAGTCAGAGAAAGGGATTTTAAAACCTTGACATTTTTAAAGGGGTCATATAATGGGTTTTGTTTTTTTCCCCTCTCCTTTATTGAGCTATGCATCTTTTTTTGCATGCAATAGGTTTGCAAAGTGAAAAAGCCCAAAGGGAGGTCCCATCTCCCACAGAAAACTCTGCTCTGAACTGCCTGAAAACAGCTCGTTTTTAGTCCAGCCCTTTCTTCTGCTTTGCTGTGACATCACAGCGAAATACGCGTCATAACGCTCGCCTGGCGGCTAGTCAGACACGCCCTCAAAAACACCAGTGGAAAAACAGTGAGCTGCAGTACACACCTCCTCTCCCTTCCAAACACAAGCCACCCTCCAGGCAGTCAGTGGACATAAAGTTTGTCTGTGATGTAGAGACAGAGCTCAGTTAAAACTTCACAACATATCGTCATGTGAGTTTTGTTTTTCCGCCCTGTGCCGTCCAGAAGGTGATATCTCGTTTGTTTAATCAGTGTAAAAACAAGAATTGTGGTTCAGCGGTTATGACAAACACCTTGTCCTTCTTACACTTCAGTTTTTGTACGTATTAAACAAACATGCTATAACCTGTAATTAGTGAGGAGCTGGTAGGTTGATTTTGTAAACTTCTGACGAAGCTAGGGTAACCGTTTACCTGCTTCCAGTGTCTGTGCTAAGCTAAGCTAACCCGCTGCTGCTTTACATTTAACAAAAAGAAAAGAGTGGTATCGATGTTCCCATTTAACTCTCAGCATGAAAGAAAACTATTCCTTTGACGAGTTTCAAAGATAATTGGCGGACATTTACATAGTGGATCAGTCAGCAGGGGATGGGCAGACTCCATCTGCTGAGGAAGACTGTGCGATACAATCAAAAGCTCCAGAACAGCTACTAAACAGACCTTGTAGTGAGAATAGATGTTCATAGTTCTGGAAAGGATCTGTCAACATTGTGAGGTAAAGCCAGTAGAAGCATTATTTTATGTTCTGAAATAATCTGAAAACATGCATTCCCATTTTTGTCAATAACTATGTGTATTTATATAGAGATCCAGATGCAGAATCACACTTATTGATTTTGCAATCCTGGCATAGCTCATCTTAAATCTATCTTCAGTCATAAGACATGTACAACACCATGTTAAAATGATTTTCAGAGCCTGTGGAAATCTATATCTAATCTATAGTGATCTCAATTCATGTTGGAACAAAACACTCGAGAAGTGGTGCGTCTCATATTAGCCTCCGTAAAAGATTGGTGCCTGTTTGTTTTTGTTTAAATGTCTATAAGATAAGATGAGAGTGAATCAGAGGAAGTGCAACACACATGATTATCAGAGTAGAACATGCACCAATCTGCACTAACCGTGATCAATACAGCCACTGACATGCTCCCTCTGCGCAGAAGTCATAGATACAAATCATCGCTGTCCAGTGAAAGACATTCATCTCCAAATCTGGTTACAGATTAAAGGATTCTTAAGCTCATGACAACATTTAAAACCCATTAGGTTAAGTGAATGTTGTCATAAAGCCTAAAGTTTCTTTAAAGTTAAATAAAAGTTGATGTTTTGGGAATGAATAATTTCACGGGTCAGAGAAGAAATTTGCATTAATCGAAACCAACCAATCTGCAGCCGCTATAAGCACTTTTCAGACCATTTAAAGGATGCTGTTCAACATGCTTCACCAAGTGAGAGAAAAATACCCTCCTCACCTCCACCTCCTCTCTTCTTCAGGGCGGCGCTCTTGGTGTCCTGTCCCGCCTTTGACTCTCCGTCTTTGGGCAGCTCTCCCAGCGGGTCCGGCTGAGCCTCCTGGTTCTCTTTGCTCTCACCACCGTCATGGCTGCTCTCCGATTTTCTCTCCGTTCGCTCACTGCTCTTCTCCTTCTCTCTGCGCGAGGGGGGCGGCTTCTTTCCATTGTTGTTGAGGACATTTTGTTGTTGCTGGAAGATGGAGAGACCAGCTCTTAATTACACTCTTAGAGGATGATGCAACGACACGCGGCCTTTTCATTCTTAAACATCTCTCTTTTTAAATGTGTGTGCTTCTGCCCTTCGTAAAGTTCAGGCTTTAGACGCACAGTAGTTACTTGGACAGCAAATTCAAGGACTTCAGAGTTAACACCTACATCTCATTTTAACTCCTGATCTTGTCAAAGAAATCCACTTCAAGTACTATCAAAGGGGTATTTCTCAGGACATGTTATCAGGTACTTATAAAAGGCATTTCTTTAACTTTTCTGATATCCCTCAACAAACTGAGGAGTCACAACATAACAAAAAAGATTAGAAGTAAAAAAATATTTCATTTAAACCAAACTATGCTTAGTTTTTACTGCCTTTTTTCCACACCTCATTATGCCTCTTAAATTCCTTTTAAACAAACCCAGAAGTAAAAATCAGTTTATCTACTCACAGCTCTGGTGCTTCTTTGTGTACTTTCACAAAGCAAAAACCCCTAAAAATTTATTTGGGAACCACAGCTAACGGCTCTTTAGTAAAGTAAAGTTAAGGGGTTTTTTTTCAGTTTTAATGACTTAAACCTACAAATTTTGGTTTTCTAGCTAATTTTAAAAGCATTAAAAGAACAACATTGGTGTTTTACACAGACCTGAAAAAGAGTTTTGTTTTTTAAACATCAAATTGTTTTAGAGAAAATAAAATATTCTTCAAGCACTCCTATACAGACAATATACATACATACAGTTATACACAACTAAATAAACTATTTTGATACAACTTGTTTTGTCTAAAAGTGCCTGAAGAATATTTTCTATTCTGCAATGAGTTTATACAACCTTAAATTCCTCTGGCTCGACTACATCATATGTGAAATTGACTGGGCACTTAGCCTCTGCAATTTTTTATTTGAGAGAAAATGTGGACATGTACCAAATCACTGTTAAAGGGCCAACTGCAGTCCTGAGCAGTGTTTGGTGTTTTTAGTGCTCCATCTAGCGAGCAGAAATCAGAAAAGCTTTTCTGTAATCGAGCCAGAAAACAAGCACAAGTTGCTCCTTTTAAATCATGTTTATTTTAATGTCTCACACACACACACACACACACACACATCCAACCACACACACACACACACTTGTCAAACCTCTTTGGCCAGTTCCCCAGGTGTGGGCCAGTTTGTGATATCGCTGAAGTCACTTGACTAAAATTGAGAAAGAAAGAAAGACACAAAAAGAAATAATCAATTCAGCGTTCACAAATCGATCGCTGTCACCAGGACTCATTGGGATTATTTGAACACTGCGAGTGGGTCAGGTAGAGTCTGAGTGGCTTTCTGGTTGAAACCATCGGGGGAGGAAAAGGAGGTCAGTGCTCCTGGTCTGTCGCAGAACTGCAAACAACAAGGATAAACAGGCCGAGGCACTTTCCACCGCCGTGAATGTTGTAAATTTGGACAGTCTGATATGAGATCAAGGTTAAACAGACGAAGGCTCAAGTTACACTTAGAAGAGAAATAAAAACTGCAATCACAACCATTCTCCTACACATGTAATACCAAAACAAAGTGTTCTTTATTGTGTTTTTTTGATACTAAAGAGCGATGGAACGAAACTAAATTCATCCTTCAGGGAATTCTGGCTTTTTAAACGGATCTCACTGATGCATGTGCACTGACCGAAAGATTTTGTCCTTCTTTAACATTATATATATATATCTCCGTCACTTCACCCAAATCACAAAAGACGGTAGTGAAAGGAAGACAGCACAAGAAAACAAACATTTGTTGTCAACACAAAAGACAGAATAACAGCAGCTAAAAGTCTACTCTTTAATTTCTTACCATTAAATATTTATCTGAATCCACATCAATAACTATAGAGCTGCTCTCACAGTCAACTTATGACTTATGATCTGTTTCGATGCTGCATTTAGAATGATTATTGATTTAGTTGTTATTTTGCGTCAGTCTGAGTGTCGGAAGACCTGAGTAATGGCAGGCTTAAATTCTATGTTTTTGATTAAGGTTGGTTAAGTTTTGTTCAGAGAATTTAAGGTTCTTGTGAAGTTTCCAAACCAAACTGTTTACATTCAGTGTTACTCACCAAAAACATATTGTGTATATCCTTGAGCTCTAACAATTGTGCTGAATGCATTTCTTTCCTCATAAAACATTTGCAACTATTGCAAGTGAGTTTTAAGTATTTAAAATCCAGGATTGTTTAAATCCATGTTTACAAGCTTAACCTAGCAGTCGACTTCTTTTTTGATTTTCTTTTGTTGCATTTAATTTATACAAGTTTCTGTCATCCAAATAAAAAATTATGAGCAAGCTGTATTAAAAAAAGTATTTATTTCAAGTTATTATAAACAATTTGGTTAACAGTTAAGTGCTTTGAACAGTAGTTAGTTTGATTATTTGTGCATGATTTGCAAACATTTGCTGCATCATGAAATATATCTATCCTTGTTAGTATTGTGGTAAAGATTATTAACACATCGGCCAACCCTGACAGTGCAGTGCAGCTTTAGTGTAACCCGTCACCTCTGACACGCGACTTTGACCATGAAAATGTCAACAGGTTCATTCTGGGTAAGCAGGGTGCAATTCAAGCAAAAATCCACTGTCTGTGTGTCCTGCTGCAGTTACATCAATAAAGTACCATTAGCAAAATAACACAAAAATAATCAATCACCACGTAAAGTGCAGCATTAAAAGAGCCACAGATCTCATACATGATTCTTTCCTTCTCTAAGTTAGAGATATCTCTAAGACAGTTTCCTGTTTCCAAATCCTCTATTTAAATGTATTAAGCGGCATATTATTTTTCGACTATTTGGTTTCCTTCCAACCATTTATTATAAACAACTGCAGCGGAGAAACTGGTTGGAAAAACAAACAAAGCAGCAGCTTAACGTTTGGCTACCAGCAGGTGTTCATTTCCCATCCTGCACGAGGGAGAAACATGAACCCACGATCCACAGACTAAACATTTATATTACAATAGAACAATTCCTCATTAAAATGTCTAAAATCAATTAGACGTGTATTATGTAAGGGTGCATCTCAGAAAATTAGAATATCGTGGGAAAGTAATTTTAACGTAATTTAAGTCTAAAAGTAAAACTTTCATATATTCTAGATTCATTACACACAAAGTGAAATATCTGAAGCCTTTTTTGTTTTAATCTTGATGATTACTGCCCAACGCTCGTGGAAATCAAAAATCCATGTCTCTAGGTAACGGTGCGTTTCATTTGATCGCCTGTCAATGGCGCCACAACCCCTCTTCATCCCCGTCCAGCTGCCGAAACTTTCACGAGAAACGAAGGAGAGGGAAGAAGAAAGTCGGCGAACGTGACCAAACCTTTAAATACGTCACCTCGTCTGTGAACATGATTTCTGCCTGAGTCACGTCAGATAAATCTTTATCTGCAATGGTGGCCGTTTAATAATCAAGACTACAACTCCCATGATACCACGCTACTTCACGGCGTCGCCAAACTACATCTTTTGTTTTTGTTTGGATGTGGGAGACTTTGGAAAAGCCAAACCTTTGGAGTTTATGTACAGGTGAGAAACCGGCAAAGCTCAAATACAACCATCACCTACCACCTCCAACTAGTTTTGATGAAAAGCTAAGCTAAAACATCAAAATAAAACTGCAACATTAACGGATTATTCAGTGTAGCTTTGGGATTAATTATCAAGATATATTAATGACACTGTCATCTACAGTATTTGGACACCTCAACTAAAAAAGGAGAAAACAACAAAACATTACCTTGCTGGTTTTTCTTGGTCTGGGCTTGCTGGCACGGACGACTTTCAGAGTGTTTTGTTGATCTGCAGATACGGAACAAATAAGTGAAAGAGACATTATCATATTTGACAGGAGAGACGTAAATCCAGCAGTTTTTTTTTTTTTTTTTAAAGAACAGTCAGCGAGCAGGTTGCTCAACACTGGAGTTAAGAAGTCATCTACTCTTGCATGCTCTGCTGTGCAGCACTGGGAATTTCTGTCAGTACAGAATGAATATCCCCCCCCCCCCTTGTTTTTGACTACTGAGAGACTAAACTAGTTGTGGGTGTTTCTGTGTACAGCCAGCAGCAATGTGTGGCTGCGTGTCTGCAGGCAGACGCATGCTGGGAGTGGTCCGCTGCAGCCTGACGGGCCCTATCGCTCGGCGGAGGATGGTCGGATTGATAAGAGACGCTGGGCCGAGGCTTCCACATGAATGGGTGTATGCCTGACCGAGCCTGCAGACGTCCACCAACAGACCTGGTTGTGCAGTAACGCTGTAAAATGATTCCTGGCCAGTGTCAGATGCTTCAAATATAGCTCCCCCTGGTCGCTCTGCGCTCTTGACACACATGCACATCTCAAATTTAGTCGACCGTGAATTTAACAAAGCTGCTGATATATTTCAGAGCCAAATGTCACATATTTGACCAAATATAACAGTGAATCACAAAATTAAGATACATGTAAAGTGACCAGTGTTGTTTGTTTCAACATTTAAACTGGCACAGTTATCTGATCACAGCGACTTACAACTGCTATATGTCAGAGGTCGCACGCCTCTGGGGTTAACTAGGGGTTAAGTGTCTTTCTCAGGGACACATTGGAGTGTCACAGTGGGAATTGAACCCTGGTCTCCCACACCAGAGGGATGCGTCTTTTACACTGCTCCATCACCACCACATAAAATAAATATTTCGTATTAAGTATCTGTAACGCTGAAGAGGATTGTAAGAAAAATATTTTTCAATAGTTCAAATTAAAGTAGGAGAGGATGAGACATCCTGACCTGTCCTTGCTCCTCAGTATGAGTCACAAACAAAAACAGGATTCCTACATTTCCCAGAATGCAATAGTGTCTTTCATTAGAACCCTCCTGCCTGATAAACATACACATCTTTCACACTCCACACCCCGAGTTGGTGACGCAGGACTTTTGTTTTAACTTTAAATTCTCGAGCTGAACCCCACATAATCCCGATGACATCACTATGACATCACCAGGGCTATTACAGCCCTGAAATAAAACTACTGTTCTCAAAGGCAGCCCCTTTAATTTATTGATGAAGTAAAAAAATAAATCTGTATTGTAGTTAAAGCTTTAAACATCCCCCAAAAATGTTTTAGTGCTTAAATGACAATAAACGAATAGTAGATCAATTACAGATTGATAATCCTTTAGTTGTTTAAGTAAATTATTAAGCAAAAAAGGGCATTTATTGATTCCAGCTTCTCAAACATGAGTCTTTGCTGCTGTTTTATGATTGTACGCTAAATATCTTTGGGTTTTAAGCTGTTTGTCAGGGGAAAAAAATAAATTTGAAGACATTTTCATAGACAAGTTCAGTTGATTAAATGGATTGGTCAATGGATCATGAAAAAACTCAGCACTTAATGATAATCAATTAATCTTATCTCTTTTTTTGTGATAAACACTCATGGTTCAGCTTCTCATTAACTGTAGTTATTGATCTAAAAAAAAAAATCCTATTCTACTTAAAGTGGTTTTGGACTGTTGGCTGGGCAAAACAAGATACTTGATGGCATCACATGGAGCTTCAGGACATTGTGATGTTATTTGTCGCTATTCTGTGAAATTTAATCAGAAAACAATCAGCAGCTTATATACAGCCGTTTTAAAAACTAATTATTTAGTTTCGTTTCATTATTGCATCATGCAAATTTTACAAACAATCAGTTAAAAAGAAAACTAACTGTGTAACTAACACATGTACTCAAGTACAGTCCTGAAGTACAATTTTGAAGCACTTAAGTACATTTTGAAATACTTATACATCACATGTGTATTTCCATTCTATGATACTTTCTACTCAACTACATTTTAGAGTCACCTTTACTCCACTACAGATTCAGATTACTCATATATAATATACACCAACTAATAACTCATTAAATAAATAAACTAATTAAAATTACCTCCACCTGAGCTACACAATACTGCATCACTAATTATAATAGTTTTATTATAGATATTATTCAAATACAAATGGGACATTCTGCATAATGAGTGCCAACACTTTTGTACTTTCACTTAAGAGTTTGAATGCATGACTTTTCCTTGTAGCAGAGTACATAAATAAAAAGATGTTAGTACTTGTCCCACCAGTGCAGCCTGTCGACATACTTGTGCTTTCACTAGTGACAGTGGAGAGCAGGCTGGTGGGAGGAACTGCAGGAGGCCAGGCCATTGGACGTACAAAACGTGTCTTTACAGCAGCAGCTAGCCTGGCTCTCTTAGCTTCATTCGCACATAGACAGCACCGACTAAAGGCTGATTTAGGCTCACAGTTTGCTTCCCTTGTGCTGTACATGTCACCGGCATTAGCCCCGTCACTGTCACTTCCAGACAGGGAAAAGGCAGTGTGAGAGCTAGCTGCTAGCAGCTAAGTTACAGACAGAAGAAGTAGCAGTTGTCAGTGATCAACACGTGGTGCTCGGGAGCAATCCGAGCACAGAGGGGGATGGGGCAAGTATGCCACCTCCAACAGCTCTTGACTGTGCTGACATTTACCAAGTTTATGTGCTTCATTCAGCTCTTTAAAAACCCTAAATGAGGTATGATAGACCCGTGCAGGTGAGATTAAAGTGGATTTCACTGCAGTGACGCTGTCAAAACGCTACAGCAACGTGCTCAGACGCAGCTGCACCCGCTGTTCTTGTACAGTTTAATCACGACAATCTGTTTTATATGAAATTAAAACAAACAAACAGCTCACCTTTCTCTTGAGAGCTGGAGTTGATGTTGTTGCTCGGCATCCTGCCCGTGGTCCTCTTGGTCCACGGGTTGACTTTCGGCGGAGGAGCTTCGACAACTTTCCTCTTCACCGTCTCCGCAGCCAAGTCAGCGCTGCTGCTGCTGCTGCTGCTTTGGTCATTTTCTTTATCGTTTTCGTTGCAGTTCTTGTGCATGTCCGTCGGGCTCTTGGCTGCCTCGGAGTTGGGGCCATCTGCTCGTTGTTTCTGCCCCTGTTCTTCGTGCTCTCTCTGCAGGTGAGCCCCCCCGGACGTGTTTTGGCTCTCCGCTGTCAAACCCGAGTCGACCTGATTAATACACTCAACCTCTGTGGACATCCTGCTAGTTTCCTAACAGCGCACAGTGTTAAATCCAGTGTGAATATTTGGTCCTTGCTCTCTTATCCCAGAGAAAAGTCGCGAAAAGCTCGGGGGGGGGGACACCACATCCACAACTTGGGGTAAACAACTTTTGGGCTGGACCTCGCTAGCCAGCTAGCCAAGTAGCTTCTACAGCTAACAGTTAGCTAGCTAGCGACCATGCAGAAGTCAGCGAGCTAAATGTTGTTGTTTACCGCCCCGATCGACCGTTACATATCAACACGTAGTTACCTCCGAGTATGTAGTTTGTCACCATGTAAACGACACACGCTGAATTGGTTCGCCTGCGAGTTTCTTTAACTTTTAAAAAACAACTACTACAGCGACCTCCTCTCGGTCTCCCGTTTCAACTCCACGCTAACTAAGTAGAGCTCGTGCTGCCAGCTGCTGTGTGCCTGTAAACAGTGACTCTGCTGCCCCCCGCGGCCACGCGACGGTACTGCAGCACACATTTAACTAACTGCAAACAGTTCCTGTACAATAACCCAGTAACTCTGTCCCTAATCAGCTACATGTTTACTAGTTACCATTTATTATTAATTCACCATTCTCTATTTCAGAGCTGTTCATATTGTCATTTTGCATATTGTATATACCAAATCCACCTACCTCTAGTACATAACACCTGCACATAATACTTATTTGTTCCAGCAGCCTTTTCACTTATATTCTTTCTGTTTATAGTGTGTATATATGTGTTCTCTATACTGTAGCCGGTGTGGGATTTTATTATTATTGCATTGTATCACATTGTGAGCAATGTACAATCCTGAGTCAAATTATAAGCATATTTATATATATATATATATATGCTTATAATGCACATGGACAGTGGTGGAAGTCGCAACCTAGAGCCCCTTCATATCAGGCTGGCCTTCCAGTTTGTAAATCACGACCGAAAACTCACCTTTACTCCTAGGCTTTTAACCCGGGTTGAGAGTTGTATGTATTTTATGGTCTATTTGTGTTTTTTAATTTAATTCATTCATGTTAATGTACAGAACGTTGGACAACCTGGTTGTTTTTAAATGTGCTTGATAAAAAAAAGTTGGATTACATAAATGTAAATAAGCATCCCTAATGTTGCAACTGGTATTACTTGTGCAGCTTAATTTACAATAATACATCATCATTTATTGACAGATTTGTATTTTGTATTAAAGATCTGAATCTGCAAGGTAAACTATACCTAATGTAAAGTAAATGTAGTGGAGTAAAAATCATAATATTGGCTTCCAAAATGTAGTGGAGTAGAAGTATAAAGTAGCATAAAATGGAACAAAACAGAAATGCTGTTTTACAAGTAAAAGTACTGCATTCACAATTTCACTTCAGCAAAAGTACAGAAGTATTATTAACAAATATGCTTAAAGTATCAAAAGTAAAATGGCTCATAATGCAGAGTGGCTACTGTGTTACAGTGTAATACTGTATATATTATTGACTATTATTATTAATGTATTGATTTTTAACAGTATTTAAATGATGTTGTTGGTCAAGGAGGAGTTAATAATAACAATTTCATATACTTTTGGTAGTTTAATCTGTAAAAAATCATCATATTTTATAGTGATATAGTTTTTTTAATGTAAAATCTTAAATTGAAAAGTGATAGGTAACTATGGCTCATTGAAAAAGTACAAAGTTTCTTTCTGAGATGTAGCGGAGTGGAAGTATAAAGTAGCATAAAATGGAGATACTCAAGTAAAGTACAAGTACCTCGTTATTAAAGTAAGTACAGCACTTTTTAACAGGGACAATATAGACGCATGTTTAGCTGAAGTTAATTTGAAGGTGAACCTCTGGTCCCTTGACTTTTACATTTAAACAACTAAACAAACAAATGAATGTGACAGTCAGAGGATAAAAACATCAGAATAGATCAAACAGACTTTGTGTCTAGCGGCTGTACACGACTATGAATATATGAATGTTTGTGTGTAAGTATGTATCTATACGGTATGTAACGGTACATGTCCATTACTGGGTCCATTAAATTCATTGTTGTTTAAGCCATTGTGTCAACATAATGACAAATGTGCCAGACAAGTAAGTTTTACCCAAAAAAAAGTCAGTAAAATGATAAACCCATTAAATGTGTACTAGTAATCTATTTTCTCTGATAAATTCATTAGCAGAATTGTTGTTGACAGTAAGCCAAAACTTATTCCGAAAGCATTTTATATGACAGAAAACATGATATTTGTATGTATTTTTGAGATATTTTTAAGGTTACATATTGCCTGTTGTTTATCTTTTTTGGGGGGGGGTGCCTCACAAATGATTGACTCGGTTTTAATTGATAAATGGTATTTAAATTGTTTTGTTTTTTAACTAAGTTAAAAAAAAAAACTTCATATTTTAATAAAAGCTAATGCAATAAATAAAGATATTTTAGAAAATGTTGCACCATAGTGTTTAGTATAAAGAGATACTTTCTTTGTTACTTTAACCTGACTGCTTATCATGTTTTACCAACAAGTAACAGCATTAATCAATTTTAATTTTTTATTTTGTAATGTTGGACTATCTCTGAACAATGAGTAAAAGAACAAAGTTGTTAAACTAGATAGTTCATTTTACTAAGCGATCCACACTCAACCAAATCAAAGCATTTGCAAATCCAACCACAGAATATTCAAATCACAGCGCCGTTATCTTCCCCTGTAGACAGATACACAGTTCAGTACGACACAAACACAACTACAACAATATAAAGACATCGTGGGACAAAATCAGAGCTTCATATTTGTCTTTTTTGTGCTCAGTGACATGAAAATGTCTAAGAAATGTTCAGACTCAGTCAAGAAAAGCAGTAGGTTATTCTGAAGACACGAGCTTCTCTAAACAACAAGGTATATATTTCATATTTTTAGTGTGGCAGCAAGGAAGACGTGTCTATTTTCTGTAGTTGCAGTATTCTGCTCAATCCTGAGTCATGGGTTTAAAACATTTTTATTTTACTTTTGAGAACATTTTTAGCAGTGCTCAGAATAAATCTAATCAAAGAAGATGAGACATCATCAGTATTGGTAACTGGTGTGTTGATTGATCTCATCACCAACTTGAATGTAAGAATGCGCCTGGGGAAATGTAAGAAAAACATGTTTCCTATAAACACCTTTTTTTATTATCTACATTAACAAACATGAAAATCTTGTGTTTGTACCTTTGTCGGGCAGATGAGTTTTATTGGCTCTGAAAATGTCTTTATCATTTCTTTACCTCCCTCAGGCTGGAAATGAGGAAAAAGTGTTTTCAATGTGAGAGTCGGTGTCAAAACAACTTTATATAGATAGACAGTCCCGGATGTTTTTATGGGGCTTTCCACCTTTAGTGTATTGAGTTGTCAGTTAAATGTTGTGTGACACACACACACACACACACACACACACTCTCATACAGTTTTGATAAATTCTAATCAAACTTGATTAAGTCACTTTTTACTTAAACAATTGATACATATATCAATATATCAGTCTTTGCAACCTGCTGTCATATGGCCATTATAGGCAGACACCCTAACTTTATCAAACCAAAACTATAGCTAGATAAAAACCATCTTTAATACTTATTTAAATATAATCATTACAACTTAAAAACTTCACCATGTTGTTCCACAGTCCCTTTGCCAGCTCCTCATGCCCCTTAACAGTGAAGTGGAAACAATCTTCGGTGAAGAAGCTCAAGTCAAAAGTCCCGTCCTGAAGATTAGACCAACAAAAACATACAAAAAATCATTCATCAAAAGTGATTTGCTGAGAGAAAATGAAGGAACAATTGTATGTGTGAGAATTACAGGAAGTCTCGGTGGTCCTGCGTTCTCTAAATAAGGTTGCAGAACAACAGCAAAGTCCTTTTTGACGAAACGATCGCTGTGCAGAAGCTTCTCTAATCTTCTCTGGAAATGAGAGAAGTTCAAATCATGGTTAAAAAAGGCTACATGTCAAAACAGATGCAATCAATAATGGCAAGAGTTCTGCATTTCAAAACTCTCTTTCCGGCCTTTTAACAGCAGCCATTTTGACTTCACAGTAGGAAGAGCACAGGTGTGAATAATAAAATGACAGGTGGCTGAATTCCATTTAGCTTCATTTTCAGGGTCCTGGTGTTGTGCACGCTGACTCACTGTCATGACTTACGGTGCTATTATTAGTAACACCTGTGCTTTTCTCGCTATGACAAGTCAAACTGTCATTGTCGTGAGTGACCCACATATCAAACACCTTTTAACTACAAAAAAAGCAAATGAAAATGCGCATTAGTACTTCACAATTATATACTATAATTACATTTTAATTAGCAAGCTCTTTTGAATGTCAAATTCAAATCTAAGAGTACATCCACATGAAGCCAACCAAACACGTTTTTTCATTGTCGTAGCTTTTCTCATCTTAAATTGGATCAAATAGTCCCTGAAAATTGTTTCAGAGGAGGCTCATTGAAAAAATATTACATTAGTTATCAAAAGGAGATCACATAGAATATCCTAAATGTGTGTGATGTGGTTAAAGAGAGAGTTCAAAGATACTGTAGTTTGGGGGAAGTCAGAAACAATAAATGTCTTCGGAGATACCTTTTTATGTATTTGGTGTAGTGTGAAGTTATGTCAAACAGCTCAATTGTTGAGGGACCAAATAACATAATCATGATCTCATAGGCAGCCAGGACTTGCATGAAACTAACCAAGTAAACTAAGAGGGTGTGGGGTAGCACCTTTTGTCAAGCTTTGTCTGAGGGGAGGCCCGCAGCTACAGACTTTGAAAACCCCTGCAATTCTACAATTTCTGTCTGCCTTAACTTCCTCTGTGGTCGCTCATCTTAAATGTCACTATAGCTGTTGTCATGAAGCTGTATTTATGTCTATTTTCTCAGGTGACTATTTTATGTTCATTTGGTCTGACAAGAGAAAAATCTGCGAATGAGGACAATGAAGTTATGAGTTTGACTATATTAAAACAGTATAATTGATTGCAGAGAGCAGAAGGTTTAACTGAGCAGTCTGTCTGCCTCACTCGGTACCCGATGTTGGCTGCGATGCACAGATTTGCGTTTTGCCGACTAAAACAGGACAGAAAAGAAGTGATTTATCAATTTTTTTGTCATTCAGGCATTTTATTGTCAAAGGCGATTTTTACGAAAGCGACATTTTGACCTGAAATTGCAAGTGTATTCTCATTTAGAATTAGCCAGTGGGTCAGTGTTGTTAGCTTGTTAGCTTGCACACACCTGGAATTCATAGTTAATCTCAACCAGCTCCTTCAGCTCGGTGGAGTTTTCTTCAGGTTGGATGAGGCAAGAGCAGAAACTCCTGTGAGCAGATTATCACACTATTGGATTATCAGGTTATCAAACAGATTATCAGATGCACTGATTTAAAGCACATAAACCTTTTTAGTCACCGAACCACATGATTTACCAAATAACATACTACAGTATATCATCAGGAATTAGTTTATGTTAGTTTTCCTGATATTTTATGTTAATTCTTAACAAATCAAGGTGAATAAATATGTGTTTAAGTCAGTAATTATAGGAACATTAAGTATTCCCAGGTAAAAGAATAGATTGGTATAAATCTAAACCTCATTTTTCAAGTTTTTTTGACGACGTTTTGATCGCCTCTTTGTCTAACCAAATTTCATAGCCAAATCTAGCTAGCTCAGCAACCAATTCTTGTTTATGACTCTATAAATCTGATAATGGTGGGAATATGAAGCCTATTCTGCCGATTAACAGTGACTGCTTGAGTGATAAAAGTATTATCTAAAAACATTCTAATGAAAGTTTAGACATCTACATTATATCCTTTAATTTAATTTGGTGGTATTTAGATCCTGCATTTTTACTTGAGGTGTGAGAGGTTTGGATTACAGGTGAAACCAAAAGAAGAAAATGGTCAGGTAACTTTTGAAGCTGACAGCCCAGAGTTGGTCTCTGAACCTCTCTGAGAGGCTTCATGGGAAGAATCTGCACCACGTTCACGATGGTCCTGGGGATCTGAAACCAGAAGAAAACATTCATTGACTGCAATCATTTCTGAATAATAATGAGCGTATAGCTTTAAATGTCTGCCTATCCCCGCTCATACTTCATAGTTTCAGTATGATCGAGGAGAACAAACCTTTCCCAAGAAAGCAGAAAAAGGAGAAGAAGGAGGAGGAGGAGGAAGTATTTCACATGAAGAAACTGTTCACAGATATAAATGCATACAAGGAACAGTAAATAAAAGGTTTAACAATACATTCACAACTGAGGCAACACAGTCCACAGACAGTATTAACTGTCCCAGAGAACTTAACGTGTGTTTTTATCAATACCACTGGCAGAATAAATAGTTTCTTGGTTGTGTAAGAAAGGTTAAACCCTCCCTTTACCTTTTTCTATTTTTAGCCACGCCAGGCCTCTAGGCATGGTGATGTTGGTCCAGACCGAAATATCTTGACTAAAGAAGAAAGCCTACAGGAAACCTTAACTGTTCACATTAGGGCCTGCTAACATGAGGATGTTAGCACTGAGCTCATAGCTAAGCCAAAGTACAGCTGACAGGCTGACAGTGCACAGTTAAAAGCGATAAAGGACAGATGATAAAGGGTTCAGTATGCTTGGAACAACCTAGCTCGTGCGACGAGTTGTCCGACCACATCTGAAGGCGAATGTGTTTGTAGCTGCTTGAATGGTGAAGCAAAAAGCCTGCTGTCAAAGAGAGAGGTGAGACGCAATAATAATAATACATATTAAAGTCTTTTGAAGTGCAGTTGTCGCTAAGAGGGGTCAGGTCTTGTCTGAGACAAAATAAACCCTTTTGATTTAGGTTTCCACACTTAGTTTCCTGGTATTTCTGCTGGACTTTTAATCAAGAGTTTGAGCAGAACATGTGAAGTGAACAGGAGGATTATTATTATTCTTATCTTTTGTTATTCTTTCATCTAAATTTTCAGGTTTTTTGTCATTTATAGGCCATTTTGTAGCATGCCAACTATCACATTGTTACTCTGCCCTCTCTGGTTAAAGGGTAGCTTTAGTATTTTTCAGTCTGGACCTCATTTTTTGAAATTGGGCCAATATTGAGACAGGGATGCTGTGTCACTAACGTGTTGTTTTTGCCACTGACAGACTCAGATTGTGGAAAGGACCCCAAAGGAGATAGACTAGAGAATATTCTTTTTGTTTAACCAGAAACAGTCACTATAGCACTCTCATTAAAGCCACCAGACTCCATTGATAAAAACTGTAATTTTACCTCGCAGAACATGGGAGTTGCTGGTCTGCCTGAGGTTTGTTTGTGTTATTGTGTGACTTTGGTGTTTTAAAAGGGCTAAAAACACCAAAGCCACAAAATAACACAAACTAACCTAACCTAAAATTACTATTTTTCTCAAGGGAGTCTGGTAGCTATGATAAGGGCTGTTTCTGGTTAAACAAAAACGATCTTGCTGTTTAAAAATGGTTGTCAGACACTTGTAATAACAATCTGAGCCTGTCAGTGGCAAAAACAAGCACTATCGTGGTTGTACTCTGACGGTGCGCAATTGCCCTCAAGGATTATGTTTCACTGGAAGTTACTTTTGACACCACCCCGCATCACTGATGGTTTGAATGTAGACAGAAGTGGGTTTAGTTGCACCTGTAACCACACCCAACACAAATCAGGGTGATCAAATTGTAACTGAGCAAAACAAATCCACGTACTTACTTTGTCTTTACAGTAATCGCAGATGTCGTTCATGCCGATCAGCATTGTTACCACTTTCCCCGTCCTCTTGGAAGTTCAGACCCTAAGAAGAACGAAGCTTTGGCTCAGTTTGTTGGTGAACATCACGCGACAAAGAAAATTCAGATTATTCATGATTTTTAATTAGCAGAATGATTAACACAGAGACTCACTGGATAAGACCTGAACATGTCTATCATGTGTCTTATCTGACCTGAGACATTTCTGTAGAACAAACACACAGTGACAGTGACATCAATAAAACATCATAAAATGATCAAATAATTTGCAACCGTAATTATTTTGATCTTTGAACTTGTTGAAGACACTCAGTGTCTCATCATGGCTGCAGCCTCCTTACTGATGCTTCCTACAGTTGTACAATAAAAAAAAGTTGTAAAAGCTTAAAGTTACACTCCATTATTTTCATATCCATCTACCCTAAAACTTGAATCCCAATTAGACGCCTGTCCCTTTTACTGGCCTGGTCCATCTATCTATCCATCTATCTATCTATCTATCCAACTATCCATCTAATCTCCAAATATTCCCCCCACCGTGTGAAACTCAACACAGCTCAAAGTTCAGTAAATTAAATTATCAACACAGACAGAAGAAGAAGACATTCAAGAAGACAAATTGTTCCAAATCTCAAGAAACATTATGGACATAATATGAAGTGCAAGTAGGCTTCCCGGCCGTCAGAGTCTCACAGTGAGTTGTGGCCTGTGACGGCGAAGTTGAAGCCGGTCTCGTTGACAGTTGTTGGGTTGCCGTGGAATGTCATCATGGGTGCTGGACCCAGCAGTTTGGGATAAAAGAGTTTAAAAATATCTGTAAGTAAAAACAAAAGTCCTCATAAAGCAAAAAGGATCCTGTGGTTTAGTCAATAATAATAATAGCTCTAATATTTACCAAACCAGATTACTTTATAGTGAATATGAGTATGAATTGAATACACAACACACCCACGCTTCCTGTTTTTTAAAATTATTTTAAAATGAATAAAATAATTTTTAAAAATTTTATTTAAAAACACACACATTTAATTTTTATTTAAAAAAATATTTTTATTTATTTTTATTTTTTGTTTGAACATACAAAACCACATTTTTACTTTTTTATCTATTTTATTTATTTAATGAACTACATGTATTGAATTGTTCTTGTGTATTATCTTTTAAGCTTTAGCAATATTGTTCTTTGACATTTGTGCCAATAAAGAAAAACTGAATTGAATTGAATTGACAGAGATTATTAAGGTACAAACGAGCCATGTCGTCTTGGAGTCAGAAATAATCTCATGCCAAAGAATCACAGATTGTTGCAGAAGAAGAAGATTGATACAGCTTTTTTTCATTCGTTCATTCATTAGTTGTCGGATTAGTTTAGACTGGCAGATCAAACTTGCTTTCTTTCGGCTTTACAAATTGAAATTAGATTTTTCTGCTCCTCTGATTCTTTAACTGTAATTGGTTACTGTAATTTTGATAAGTCCCACATCCTCCAATGCTGTAAGAAGAGAAAGAGACAGTTTGTAATGAATGGAGACCAATTTAATTAATAATATCATGTATAATGTGACTGGCAAGATAAGATAAAGTTAAATAAGGCCAGTGAACTTAGATACAGTGCTGCAAAACAATTAGCTAATGAAGCTCAGCATAGTTCAACCAGGAAGACCATCTTCACTCTCTCTCTCTTTTTCACTCTCTTTCTTCTTGCCTCTCCAATCAGCTGACCAGGGGCATTCACTTTTTAGCTCACCATTCAGATTCTTGCCACGATCTCCATCACCCAATTGTGCAGTCACCGTGAAGGTGTGTCGCTGTAATAGTAGCCTAAAGGTATTCATGAGCAAAACTCTCCAAATATTGACAGACGTGTTGGTGGTGGAAGAAGTACTCACTACTTTTAAATAAGTAGAAGTAGGAATGATTGTTAAAAATGTTAATTGAGTAAAGGTGCGAAGGTGTGTGACAAAATGTGCTTGAAGTAAACAGTAAATATTGTCATAGTACGTAAACATAATAGCTCATTTATGAAATTTGAAATTATATTTTTGGGATTAATTATTGATGCATTAATATATTCCTCACTTTGATGTTGCAGCTGATAAAGGTGGAACTTTCCCGTGTAAATTTCTCCCTGGGAGTAAATTTTAAAAAAATCTTTTATCTTATCTTAACTTATAAGAAGACATCAAAATGATTATACTTTGTATTATTGAAATGAATCTGCAAAGTAACTCGTAACTAAAGTTATAAATAAACATAGCGGAGTAAAAAGTACAACATGAGGTTTGTGGAGTAGAAGTAAAATGCAGCAGAAAATGTGCAAGTAAAGTAAAGTACCTCAGCGTTTGACTTAAATACAGTACTTGAGTAAATGTGCTTGCTTTCTACAGGTTGGTTAAGTGGCGCTCACCTGAGGTTGGGACGGTTGGAGACGGACTCATATCTGGGCAGCTGAAGGGAGGATGCAGATGACGCTGGAGAAAATCCATTCCTAAAACATCCTGCAGGAAAACCACACAGACACGTTCCACCGTTAATATGGTTTTGAGAAAGTTGAGTGATGTCTAGTTTTGCCTGGAGGTTTGTTTGTTCTGAGTGGAACTGAAATGGCTTCAGGAGTACATGAACTCTGATACATTCTGACTGATGTGTCAAAAAAAGGCTGATCGTTTTAAACTTCACTCAACATTATCCAACATTTTGTTTCTATCTGACAGTTTTTGCAGCAGCATGTAGACCACCAGTGGACACTTGGGTTCCTTCCACACAAAGTCCGCGTTGAGCTGCTTTCTCTCCTGGCTGTGTTTTGGTGTATTTTATCATTTTGATGTGTTGGTCTCATTAAGTTACTGTTTTAGATTGGTTGTTTTTATGATTGTTTTAGAAATGTTATTCATGATTTGAAAACCCCTTTTTGTGTAACTCTGATTTTGTGGATAATTCTGTTCTTGCATCTATATCTTATTGTTGTTGCTGCCTGTCTCAGCCAAGACCCTTCTGAAAAACTAGTGTTGAATCTCATTGAGGCTTTCCTGGCTAAACAAAGGAAAGACAAAACTTTGCAGGGTCTAATTATCCATGTAAACTGTTCAAGCCCAAGTCTTTTCTCACATATCAACAGCAGCCTATATCCAGCACACCTGGTTGCTAGTTTTATGATCTATAACAGTATATTGGTCTAAATTCAGGTGCAAACACTGTCCCAACACAAGTCTGTGTGCTGCAAACTGGAACTGACTCTCAGCCCAAATCTGCCACGTACTGGAAAGAGCCAGCCCCGGGACTACAGTCGAACATTACCCAAGCTGGCTAAACTGGCACATTTACAGAAATATCAGCTCACAATTTATCAGTGCGCAATGTCTCTGTAAACGTAAACTCTATAAATAAAATAAATTAGGTCTTTCAGGCCCAGCTGACTGGATACCTGTGGATTGTGCACCGCAGGACACAATCGTCAAATTTAAGACATTTTAAAACCTTTTTGGTCCTTTACCTGAGAATGTTGCTACTTTTGTTCCAAATAAGTCATGGAGGAAGATTTCTGCAAAGACAGCTAAAGTACGATAATTACCTGAAAGTCAAGCTTAAAACATGCAGTCGCAGGAAGAGTTATGGGTTCAGGTGCATGTGGGAAAGTGGTTTAAATGAACCTCTTTTAAAAGAAAAACAATCTATCACACCTGCTCAATGATAATAAGTTTACTATCTGAAGCAGCAGACTGTGCACACACCTTGCATAAATTGGCAATTCCGTCAAATTCATTCATTTACAAAACATGTTGTCA